CACACCTCACACGGTGAACACTGTGGGCTTGATTGACACCTGCCTCACTCACCTGTTGCACACAGCTGTCTGTCATAGAGAGCCGAAGTCCCTCCCTTTCCGGTGGAACTCCATGGGACCTTATTTCGGAAAAATTATTTGCTGTGGATAACATTATTGTTGACAAGGACAAGGTACACAGAAAACTAGTTGCTAAAACAAAACACGGGAGTGTACCTTGTTAGCTAATGTTAGATAGCTGACATTAACGTTACATTACACTCGTTTAACACTCACCGAAACATTGTACAGCCGGTCCCGCATGCTGGCTCTTACGGAACCGACTAACTCCCCTTTTGTGTAATAGCAGCTCTCACCATGCCCAGACGTGTAATGATTTTCACCTGGTGTAATACTTTTCGCCTCATTCTGGTGTTGGTGACGTGTATTGTGCGAGACCAGAGATGTAGTTCATTGAGCGGAACAAATAAGTGTTACTTCACAGTTTTACGACAAACTGTGACTTTTTTTGACGTGGAAATAATTTTTTTAAATTGACCAACATCATATGTGTAATTCATGGCACAATTCAAACGGGATCGAAAGATAACTCTTGTCTCGCCATTGACTTCAATACATAATTTTTCCGAAATAAGGTCCCATGGAGTTCCACCGGAAAGGGAGGGACGTCGGCTCTCTATTAGCAGGAATTAGGTAAATCCACTAAGGGGTCCAAACTTAAATACAAGAAAATACATAATAAATAGATATAGTAACAAAGAATAGTCTTACATTACAAATAAAATAAAAATACCTTTCTTTTCTAAGAATATTGAACTTAAAATATTTGACAATTCACATGTTGACAGTCTGAATAATAAACCTAAAGAGTTTTGTTCCCTTGATGGTGACTTCTCAGTGTGAATACAATCTGAATACATTCAGTAGCCCACACATATTACCCACAGTCCTGCATACAGTCATCTGAGGATTGCCGATTCATTTTTTGCAGGGTTTAGCAGCAGAAAACTGCACTAATGCACAGATGCACTAAGATGTCTTAAATCCTAGAATATTTTTGTTAAACTACTGTGCAATAACCCAATGTTTGCCAAGGAAATTGTTCAGATTAGATCTCTGAATTAGATTCTAAAAATGTCTCAATAGACAATCAGTAGTAGATCACTTCTTAAAAACAACTGATATGTACGTCCTATATCTCCGGATTCGGTACGGCTGAGTTAGTATTTACCATAATATCAAATAATGTCCACTGCTGCAGACTTCATTGATGTATATTTAAAATGTAGCCCGAGTCATTGTTTGTTGTCCTGTCCACTTACAGGTGCTTAACAAAGCCTTACTGCTAGCTAATCCAGAATTACTGTCTTAAATAGGATTAGCTCTCAATCCTGTTGTAATTCCATTCTCAGTATATTATATTAGACTACAGGTGCATCGCTCCATGGCCCGGGAAAAGGTTGTCATCGCCAAACTGTCACATGAAACCGCCTCTCAGTTCCTCTTCCCTCCTGACTCTCGTCGGCATGAGAGCAGAATTTGACATCCATCAACCGCGTTGAGCCACGATAAAGTTTCACTCGCTTTACACTTCAAACATTCCCTGCTCACAGCTGGAACCCCATCATGAGCGCGGAGTATTTTGAAGTATTGGGAAAGAGCATGATAAAGCTGGAATCCCGATGGCTTCTCTCCTAACAACAGCACAACATTTTCACTTCAGCAAGATGTCACCTCTCAGTCTCACTTCTCAATCACTCTGTCTTCTGTGTGTTGTCTCACTCTGAGATGTGATGGGCCCCGGCGCTGTGCTGTTATTATGGGAATCAAAAGGTAATGAATAAGTCTATACAGCTGTGAAAAAAGAAACATGTGTCTTAACCCTTATTTAGTAAGGTACACACAATCAGTATAACACAAAGCAATACAATAGCACTGCAACAAACAATGCTCCAAAGGATACAACACCATTATATTCCAGCCAGGTAAGGATTCTAGACGTTAAATACTTAATCACTTGCAGGGAGACATATTACCCCGGTAGCATCACCGCGGAAACTCTCAGGTGTGCTGGTCTCCAAAGGAATCTGTACCTTTGAAAAATGGAGCCTTGAAAGTATTCATTAGTTAGCCGAGCATTGAGATTACCCTGCTAATGCTAGTGTGATTTACTGTAAAAGGAAAAATGTGGGCTATACGGGAAAGAAAAAATGCTTTTCAGCTTCTCAAAAGCACCATTTCTAAAAGAAAGTCGAAGAACTTCAGTCGGGCTTCTTGCTGAGTAGCAGCTTTAGTATCCATTAATGGATATACTGTATGTCTAGTTTCAGCTTGGAGGAACCACTCAGCGCTCACTGGAGGAAAAAGAAACTGATCAATGAGTGCTGTGTGCAGTTCAATAAGTGCATTGATCATCACACAAACAAACACATCACAACCATAGCGGGAAAAAGAGCGCCGGGGCAAGGTCAATACCTCTCAACCTGAGCAAATGTGAGTCTGCTAAGGCCTGTTTTCACTTGCCCTTTAACACAGCATCAGTCAACTGATGTACAGACAGAACACTAGCATTGAACATGTAACATGCTGTCAGTTTAACTCCTTTGAAGATGTTAAATATTTCAAGGTGTTGGCAGTTGCAAGTTGAACTTTAGCAACCAATGATAATTCTAAGATGGGTGAGGAAATACATACAGAGTTCTCTTTAAACCACAGCCTGTCCATTGGCAAGAAAACGTTTTTCACGTTTTACAGACGGTCGTTTTTCAAAGAATCTCAGGGACAGAAAACAGACCAAGATAAAGATCCAGAGATTTCTTTTGTCAAATGTAGACACATGATGACTTGTCTGGTCTGAACAAAAGGACAACATTGGTATACAGAGGAAGCCAGACGGGCACAAACTGTACAGGGTCATTGTCGGTAGAACTGTCTCAGTAGTATTGAGTTAACGGTTAAGTCTGGGTAAATCAGATTTGGTGTGTACGTCTCTGAAGTTGTTTTAGCAGAAGACACCCTCTTGTTATGGAAACACATTTTGTAATCCGCATTTTCATTCAAGCTAATTATTTTTAACCGTCTCTAAATATCTTTCTGGGCCTTCTTATGTAGTTTGGCATAACAGCTGATGTACAACTCCAAAACACAAGGATGCAAAGATGGCGGACGGATCAAGATGCCTATAATTTGCTGAATGCATCAGATGGCAATTTGGCCCAGTAGCAAATGGGAAAAGCCTCAAGAGTTGATGCAAGAGTGAGGCATGTGTGTTACCGTACAGAACAGTTTGAAAAACACAAGATAGCTAGTTCACAGACTTCAATGAAGTTCTTGATTTTGTTTAGATGTTTGATCTTTAAGACTAAGATAAGTCCTTCTCAAGTTTTGAGTTGTGTTCCGGGATTTAACTCACCTTTCACCTGCAGAAATCTGACAGACTTGTCCCATGTGCTACGGTGGCCTGAGAGTGACAAAAACAGTCGTAACATTGGTAGCCTCCGTAGTTTAATGCCTTCTTTAAGTCTTTGATTTCCCCACAGATAATTTTCGCACTGTTCTTGCCACAGGGCAGAAGTAAAAAATAACATGTCCCCTTTGCACACTTTTCACCATTCATTTCCACAAAGCACGTTACAGCAGGGAGATAATCCGGACGGTTTGCTCTGAAGCTTCTCGTGACGCTTCATGGGGGGGTCAGCCGGCAGCTGCTGGAGGTGAGGTATCTGGGATGAAGTCCTCTCCCCAAACGACGTCAACTCTATTTTAATTCTCCGCGCAGCATGGTGCATCGACACCTGGGCTGAACACATGGTTAAAATTAGGGCCACTGCAGGGGACCTTGACAAACAAGTGACTTTGACTGAATTTATCAGGGCGTCCCCGGACACTTCTCACACACACAACCGTGTTGGAGGACAATCTTTAGTTTTCTTTTGTTATCTATCAGTGGTCAGTTCCGGTTTTAAATGGTTAATAGCTGCATTCATGTGGCAGTAATTCTCCTTTTCTGAAAAATGTTGCTATCCATTTGCGGCTATTTTCATCTTTATGTTCTATTTAGCATTAAGTATTAAGTAGAAGTACTATAAAAACATTTATTTATTTCCACTACTATGCATTAAATACGCATAAACAAGACAACTACAATGAATTCAAAGAAAAACATTGAATAATTACAATATTAAGTACAACATACTATTATTTATTAAAATATTTTGTAAACTATGTTTGCAAAATTACAGCTAAAAAGAAAATACAGTCAGACATTACATTATTTAAATGAAAGTGCTACAACAGTACACTGAAGATGTTTGAAAAGATGAGATCTGACACAAACAAGAACAATCTGATTTACCATCATAAACGTTGGTAAATTAGGGGAGAAGTGTAGTCTTAGCTGCTCTATTAGGTCCTTTTGAGAAGGAAGGACAACATGTCAACAATATTTTACCTATTAGTGTAACAAACAGTCCAAAGTTATTTTATTTACTCCCAGGCAAACTTTAAAAAAACAAATGGAGTGTGTTTAGCAGGCGCTGCGGCTTGAATATTTCAGGTTATGGATAAAATGTCGAGTGTCTGACAGGAGCCACTATATAAACTTTGAACACAGGCTCTCTGACACATCGATAGTTGTAAATATTTAATTCAGTGCCTCCGACAATGCGTGCCACTGAAACAAATCTTTACCAGATTGAATTCTAGATAAATATCACGGAAATATCACCAGAGCTGATACACAGATCTGTATGCGGTTGTTTTGTCAGGGTGGCCTTGTTAGGGCATCTCGTGTTAGTGTCAGCAGTCCTGAGCAGAGTGTGCTGCGTGGGCAAATATAAATATTACAACAATATAGAACAACTCAGACACTTATAAAGCAAATAGTTAGTTAAAGTGTCCAGAAAAGTAATGAACAATTTTAGTAACAAATGAATAATATACCTACCTGCAGTCAACAAATGATCAACACCATTTCATTTTTTAACTTTTATTCACTTAAATTCTCAAGTGTTAAAGCAAGAACAAAACATTTATAATGTCCTTTGGTGGGATTTTATTACACTTTATTAATACTGTATATGTAAACTGATATTCTTTGATGCCAGCACGTTGCCAATACAAAGGAAAATCAACTGCACAACTAAAAGAAATATTAACGAATAAAACAAGTGAATGAAAGAAATGGAAACCAATAAAAAATAAAAGAAACCAAAAAACAATTGCTTCTTCATTTGGATGTTTTTTCAATAGATACATTAAAGGTTGCCTTTTCTCAATCACAGTTCGGCAAAGATACAAAAGGACTACATGACTCTTTTTTGTTTGCTCTGTCGAGAGGAGAACTTGCAAATACACCGATGGTTCTCTAAGCTCTTCGTCTGCTCGGGTGAAAACTATCCTCGCATCATGATCGTGGGGAGCGTGGCGGCTCTAAGATAGAAAAAAGAATCAGACGGCTTAGTTTGGAGTACCTTTTTTGCAAGAGGAGGGGAGGAGAGGAGGGGGGAGGGGCTTCTTACACATGTGCATCACTAACATCGGACAAAATAATCTTTCAACCAACAAGGGTTTTACAGAGTAACGTTCACGGAAAGCACAGGTCTGTGGCAGCATGGCGGGGTGGAGGGGGGGGGGATGAGGAAGAGACAGAAAGCTAGAGGGGGGTCGACATGGGCGGGGGGTTTGTGTCACAAAGTGGCAGTCCGGACAGATTTCCTTCTATCCACAATGCACTGACAGCAAAGAATGCCTCCTGTTCTCAGGTCTAACACTTTCTCTGAAAAGTCTTCAGCAGCGGTCCGGCCAACGTTACGCAGCAAGAAGCGTCCCGGGGGGGGGGGGGGGGGGGATCGACGACCACTGCCGGCTCGCTCCAGAGCTGATTGGTCGCAGCTGTTGTTGCCGTGGCAATAAGAGAGGAAAAGAACGAGTCTGTCATCTTCAGTTATCCCCTCTCAAACTGGAAGGAGTACCTGGTATGGCTTAGAAGGGGAGGGGGGTCTCATTGTTCTTTGCACATTTCACTCTTATTAGGCTCTTTTTTTAAATAATATCTGGCATTTTTAGAAGTATATGTTTTTTTTTCCATTTCTATATATTCTTTGAAATTCAATGAAAAGTTTTTGCACTCATTAGTCTGGCACATTCTCTTATCGTCAGCGGAGTGTCCTTAGAGTCTGGCGGACAAGCTCAGGACAGTCCAGAAAGCTCATGTTCTTGTTTAATGGTTGATTATTTGAAATGGGTGGGGGGGGTAAGAGTGGAGAAGGTGGGAGTGACAAACTCCGACCAGGTCCCGGTCTCTTCAGAGCGCCGAGGCCCCCCCCAGCAGAGCGGAGCCCAGCAGCAGCAGCAGCAGCAGCCTGAGGGAGGGGGCAGGCAGGGCGGCCCCCGAGTCGGGGCCCCGGCAGCCCCCCAGCTCCGCCTCGCAGCGGGACTTCTCACACAGCAAGCCGGAGTAGTCTGAGGGACAGCTGCAGCGCACGTTGTTCACACACACCCCCCCATTCTGGCAGCGCAGGAGCTCGTTGTCACACACCCGGGCTGCAGGGGGGGAGACAGGAGAGAGGGGTGAGAGGCACACAGGAAACAGACTTTCTGGTGACACTTTACCTGAAGTGTTCTGCATTAAAAGCAAAACTAAAATCTAATTCATTTCAAATCACATTACATTGAAAAGATCCCTGTTGGGATCCCTCTCTCTGATTTGAACGAATCAAAAACTGACAGAATTATTTCTTCAAGTAAAGTGTTACCACATTTTACACCAGCTTTAATTCAGCTGAATCTTTACAGGGGCAGTTTAAAAGTGGTATCAATATTCATATTAGTCAAGAAAGACACAAGTACATTTCTACTACTATTGCCTAAACATTTCCTTATGCAAAGATTTCCAAAAAGAATCCCTGATAAATAAAAGTAACATGTATGAAATATATTATTATTTAAGACAAACTCTGCAGTGCATGCATCCTGATTATATTTGGTAAAATGTGACTATAACAGGTTAGTAATGTTAGTACAAATCTGTTGGTAAAAGCACTATTTAAAGCCCTAACCCTAGTGTAAAATGTATAATATTTCTACCGGTGGTAATATAAAAAAAACACATTAATGCCTTCTACAGTACCTTCCTCTTATTTCTTTCTCTAATTATATGAAATACAACTCTATGGCACCTTTTCAAAGGAAAAAAAAGAAGAATCATCATCTTCTAATGTAAACATGATCACTCTGACTTTAGTGTGAGTAAACTCCCTTTTAATCATTTGCATTGTAACATCAGAGTTGATTAAAGGCCGCTCCCGTCAGTAGTGCTGCTGCACAGAAATCCTCACAGCCTGACAGGCTTTCCCCCAAACAGCGGCTTCTTAAGACAAACTGAACGTCAGGTGAAAATCGGTGTATATTTAGAGCTGGGACAGCGAGGCCACTCTATTCCCGGAGGAGGCAGGCTGTCAAGCAAGCTGCAGGCAAACAGAGCAGCGGCACACAAACTAATAAACCAACAGAGACAAATAAACAGTGATCAACACGGGGGCCACTCCTGCCCATTCCACTCCTTTATGGGAGTGGAAAACAATGTGGTGAGCAATCTATGAACTCCACGGGACGTAAATATCACAATAACAAATATCAGGCCTCTCTCCTAATACTGAGGATTGGATGCCTGCTTTCTCCCAGGAATAGCCAAATAGGGCTTTGATGGGGGGGGGGGGCTTGTTAAGAAATATTGACTCCACCAATCCGGTTTGTCTAAGCGCCGGAGAGAGGGAGCTGCAGTTTGAGTCGGTGAGTTTAGCTCCAGGCCACTGCTCAACAATTACCATGCACACCTCGGTCCAAAACACACACCTGAACTCTGTCTTTGTCTCCGAATTACATATCAATTTCAAGCCCAATTGAGCCACTCAGCAGAAACTAAAGTAATAAGTCAATATATAAAACTGCAACCTCTGTTTCCTTCTTCGGAAGTCGTTGTCCACTTGGTTTTTCTCCTCGTAATGAGGCGGCTTAACATGGCAACAGAAATGTCTCCTTCAAGACGACAAGGGGGAGCAATTTATAAATTCAAGACCGGTGATTTTCCCCAAGAGGCCTTGATATGATCAGAAGTGCTCCTTTAATCAGAACTACTCTTACCTGGTCTATCTTATCTCTCCTGCTTCCATGATTGTATTTTCTAAAGATGTTCAAAGTGGTTTGCATTACTTTTTTGCTTTAATTGTATTATACAACACTTGAAATGAAGTGCATGACATCATTGTGCATGCAAACCTTACACAAATTAGTTTGATGAGCACAACACGTCAACGTTCATTTCCACCATATTAAGGATTGCATTATTTACTGGGACGACAAATAGCACTGACTCGTCTACAACAGCTGAATATTAGCTTTTAGCAATGATAATAGCCCACACTGTTGGGTAAAAACAGAATCAAGTCATTTCATATTAGTTATGCTATATTCATCTCCAAATCAAGAAGAAGGTTCATTGTGTTATTTCAGCTGGCAACTACTTTTAGCAGCAATCTCAACTTGCTAAATCCACCTGTTCATACAAATGGGAGTCAACAGACAACATGATTTCAGGGTTAAACAATATTGTGAGTGAATATAAAAGCAGATCAAATAAAAGTGGGATAAGAATAGCTGCTTTATGTTGTGGGAATGACGGAGTACTAATAGCTTCCAACAGCAAAGATACTCTCCCCAGGTTGCATTTAGCCTCAATTTAAAACGGGTTCACTGTCTTCCAGAAAGTAGGCTAAGCCCAAATACAGCAAGAGATAAATAAATTGATTATTTCTTTTCAAGTGGAAAGACAGAGTGGTGGTATTCAGAAACAAAATTGGATTATTTTCTAGTGGCCTTCAGCAGTTTCTAATGAGGGGAAGCAGCCCCTACTAGCTTGTATTTTGTTTACATGTAGGTATTGAGAGCGTATTTTTATTTTAAGTTGAGCTTCTACTTTAAATATTAATTATGCATGGTGCTCAACACTTTATAGCACGTTCACTTGACTTCAAAGTAAAGCTCAGGTAATGGCCGACCCCTGCAGACAAAGCGCTTCATTCGCTGCCAACTAAGCATCGCTGAAGTCCAAAAAGAACAGAGGTATAGATTTTTTTAAAACATCAGTAGCAAGTTTATCAAAGATGTATAACAGGGTCAATGAGATTAAAGGTACTGTAACACTATGAGGGGAGAGCAAAGGGCATTATGGTTAAACTCAAGATGGGTATTCTAGTGAAGCATTGTGTTGAGATGAATTCTTTTGAGAACACCTTATTTCATCTCAAATGAACCATTTCTCGGCGTGTAAACAGAGCCAGCACAGGCAGTACATGATGAGATTTGTAGCGTTTGCTTTTGATACGAGTCATAATATTTAGAGAGAGGACCGCTGAACTAGGTGTGCCTGTCTGGGACTGGGAGGTGTTTGATGAGAGATTTGAGTTTTAATTGCATTCTTCAGTCTGCATGCAGATAGAATATTGTCTATAAAGAAGCAAGGAGAGGTAAAAACTGAAAAAAGTTTTTTCTTTTACAGTCGAGGAGTAACTCAAGAAAAAATAAGCTCCTTGGACGGGCATTGTTTTCGGGGTTTTCTAGTTTAAATGTTCTACAGAAAATATGATTTTCAATAAAAAGATTTTTTTTAGAATTGCAGTGAAGAACAGGCTTATTGTTCATATATATATATATATATATATGTTATTGCCAGAGCAGTAAGAGATTTATTTATAAAACCTACATGGATAACAACAATGGATGTGGTGGGACTGGGTAGTTATATTTACTCAGTTGTACTTACTGTTATTTTGGATATTTGTAACTATAATTACTATAAACATTAAATATAAGTACTTCAAGTTTAATACATTTCATATACGATGTTAAAGAATTTCTGTCATGTGTCTTGGTCCCTTGAATTACAATTATTGAGCACTTTTGTTACATCTATATATTTCTTTATTCTCTGGGATGGTGAGAAATAGAATGTTGACCCTGTCTGTGTAACACAAATAGAGGAATTGACAATAAAGTTGACTTTTTCACAATTTACAAGCTAGTAATGACCTGTTTAATGTAAGACGTATCTAATGAAGTTACTCAGTCCTTTTTTACTCTTCAGTCGTACCTTACTCTACTTATGTAAATATATATTTACAATATTTGTATTTAAGTCATCTTTATGTTCATTCAATATTTACACACAATATAAGACCCTTCTTTCCCTTAAATGCATTCTAGGAAATGTAGGTAAAAATGCTAACTGAATTAAAAATAATTTGAGATTAGTTGGACACTATAGAAGAACATTTATTAAAAATAAATATTTGAAGTTGGTCTCATCTTAAGTAAGAATAAACGTTTTGAGAACACCTCAGACAATAGTGTTTGTTTGATTTCCTGATAACTGTTTCACAGCCTATCTGACAAATAAAACTTCTGATCCATTCACACTTCCCATCTGTATGAATCGGCCCTGTCTTATTACTACAACACCAACATGTAATGACTGCTGTTGAACAGCTCAGCATTCTCAGGATTCCACTTGTATCATATGATGAAATGTGACATATGCCTTAACCTCTACCTTTTGTGTAGAAACAGTTCTGTGTGCTGACAGTGCGTATTCACACTTAAACGCTGAATCTATTAGTCAAACACAGTGCATTTTAATGAACACCCAGCTGTGTGAAAAACTGCTATAATTAACTAATTATTAATTTCACACATTTAAATCTGCACCTGACACATTCTTTTTACATTTAACAAAGGCCAACAAAGACCAACAAAGGCAAGTAGTATTCGTATTATTTCCAACATGTTAGTGTCAAGCTGCATGTACTGCCTCTATAAACTACTGTATGACTAGACCTATTCACATCCTGATTGGATCAGGAAATACTTCATGGTTTGTGACTGAATAAATACGTCATAGGAAGAAGACAACATTTTCCCCAATTCTTCATGACAATATTACACTTGCTTCATCCATAGGACGAAGAAGTAGAAGTCACGAGTAGAATTTAATTCCACAAAACAGGAAACCTGAACATGTTGAGTCGCCATATTTAGGACGCCTTTGTTAGTTAGGAAAAAGATTAATGTTGAGCTACAGGAGGAAGGCAAATAGATGTCATCACCTTCTGGGAAAGTTAAATAATTCTGAAGTAAATTGATCACAGTGATGCAAAGATAGGTCATGGTTGATGAAATGCTAATTAGCAGCAATTATGACACTATGTTATGTGAATGTATTAACCGGCACAGTTCCAGAGGGGCCAAATCATCTGTGCTCTTTCCATTAGTATTTTATGAAGTATAAACAGTGTTTGTCAATGGGCATTTTGTAAATTAAAGTTTTTTCTTTCATTATCAAAGAGTTAGGTGTGTACTTTCTTATGGCTACCTCCTGTAGAAAAATTGGTGACATTTGAAGACAAATGACTTCACATGGCATGCATTGTAAAATGGCCTGGGGAAATATAAATGGTAGATAATAATAAATGAGCTGGAACTGAAAATGACCTGCCTTCTCCTTTGAAAAATGTTAGTGTTGGATGACATTGTACTGGTGTGGATTGGCGAGGGGTGTGATGGCTACTCAAACAGATCACAGGCAGCATGTCAAGCAGTCAATATTGACTCAGCTGTTGTTTGTTGGTGTGCGACGTGGCTGGATAACTGAGTTACCGAGCATCATGCATCCTGCCATGCCATTGCTCTGTTTCTATCGGAGCCATAGAGGACACCTGCTGATATTACATTGTTACACAGCTGCAGCAAGTGTGAGTTGCAGGTTTAGTAAAGGGCTTAGTAAATTGGGTTAGCTCATGTTATGGGTCTGTATTTGTCAGGGCAGCCGGGCAGTCCTGCGCATAAGCAGCACATTCTTCCAGCCAGAGCTTAAGAATCAAACAGAGAGAGAAGAAATCAGAGGGATAGTAAAGAGAGACAGAGCTGAGGAGGAGAATAGCCAGGAGCTGCGTGAGGAGGGTTGTGGTTTTACTTACATTTGCAGCCATCGTCCCACAAATAGCCGGGTAGACACTGCTGACACTTAGGCCCTGTAGTGCCCTCCTTACATATACAAAATCCTGTGCCATTACAGCGATCATTGACTGAGCCAAAGGGATTACAATTACACTCTGGAAAAACAAGACACACACAAACAAAGGCTGGAAACAGGGTGGCTTTGACTTCCTGCTACACGTCTAGGATTTTCACAGCGTGGACCACCGTCCTTAAGTTCAATAATAAGGTCATTATTACAACATAGAGTCTGATTATTTTCAACCGATACAAATCTGACTCATACAGAATAAAATGCTACCATTTCAACTGTTATGAAGACGGAATGAGAAAAGAGTGAATTATGCTAGTTTCATGAAAACTTTCTATTCATTACAGTATATTTGTCATTTAATAAAAATAACTTTACTGTTATATAGATATACAACGTGCAATGAGCCAAATATGCAAAGCATTATCAGTAGCTTTGATATAAGATGAACAAGGTGAGCTAATCTGCACATGCTTTTCCAAAATAGTATTCATTCATACAGGTACAGAGGAGATAGATATTAGGAGAAGATGAAAAGAGGAGACAGGAACATGTGATGAGTAGTTACCAGATGGATATTGGCAACGCAGACAGACAAAGAGTGAATGTTCATGTTTCAGAGGAATGAGAGTAAAGCACATTGAAATGGGCATTGTTGTAATATGTTCTAACTATTCCTTATTATCAAATAAATGTAACATTGTCTAGGAATTTGGCATTATCTTCAAATGCCTATTTGTCGTTTACAGAAGAGAATGGTAATCAGTCACAATTAGAAAACAACCTCTCATGTCTCTGCTGCCCTACGCTCAACTGACATGGTGCTTTCAACAGCGACTGGAGCAAAGTGACACCTTCTCTGACAGTCCTGGCCGTCACATGGCACCTTCTGTGGCCCGCTGGCTGCACGTGGCTGCACCCGAGTGACATCCGAGGGTCAGGCGAGAGGAGAAAGGTGACGGCAAGTGACAAACAGGGGGGTCAGTGGGAGGGAGGCAGGCTGAGGTCAAGTTTGCAAAAAAGTAACGCCTTGTGACGGGATTCAGCTGGTACTCTTGAGGCCATTTCATGTAGGCCTATATGACATATGCACTTGTGTGGCACCTCTGACTGGCGGTGTGGCTTCCTCGCGACATTTCTCTAAGAAGTCTTGTTACTTGTCAGACTCCCCCCTCAGGACTCACAAGTGCACCTGGCACTGGGTACCGAGAACTCACACTCCGCGCGCTATCTAAAGAATCCAATAGGGAACCAAAGTACTGCCTTAGAAACTATGTGAAATGTAATTTTTCACACATTTTTACATGGACAAAAAACCGATGATGGTCATGGACAAAATAACAGAAACACCAGATGAAAATGGCCTTTTAATTCCAAAATCTTTAAGATGACAATGTCTTCACAGACAAGTCATCTTAAATTGAATACTAGTAATCTGTAATTCTATATTTAAGGTGTTAGACAAGCATTAGGTTACAAGCTTATAGTATAATGACATGTCCCCATTTCATGAATGATCTACTTATACATTTGAGGGAATATTAGCATAACGATAGAAAATAATAGGAAACAGCTAGCCCGGCAATGAGATAGCTGCGTTCACAGTTCCGCCTTCTAAAGGCATGTGATGTGGTCATCAATTAACATTATATATTGTTTTATTTCACGAACCAGGGCTAGCTTTTCCGCGTTGTTTCCTGTCTGCGACAAGCTATGCTAGCTCCATGTTACTCGTATAGACATGAGACTGTCTGAGGTGTTTCCATTAGGTTGTGCATTATGATTTATTCTTTTATATGTACTACCTGCAAATCTGATTATGCTAGCAATTAATGCTTTGCTATTTTTGGTCGCTAAGTACAGACAAGGAGCTATTAACTAAAAATGATATAATACAAATAATAAATACAAGCTAGCAGCTAGCTAACCCTGGTACTGTAGCACTCACCAATCATTCTACAGTTATTAAAACCGTGTGTCTGACTAAAGCTAAATTATAAGTCCTGCAAATTGTGTGAGAGCAGAAGAAGCAATACAGGAATATGTGAAGACCACGGAAAAACATGGAGGCAGGAGGGTGTAGTGATGATGAAGCGGTGGGGGATGAAAGATGACACTTTCTCTGGTAACAAGTCAAAGACATGAGGTGAGGCGAGAACAGTTTGTGTGAAAGCAGGGTGGCGATGAAAGGGGCCGGTGGGCGACTAACCTATGCACACATTTTCATCGTCCAGTTCTGCTGAGGTATTGCGGTAGTAGCCCAGCTTGCACAGCTGGCAGTGCTGGCCCCTAGTGTTGTGCTTACAGCTCACGCAAATGACGGTGTTTAGCAGCTCGATGTAGCTGCATCGGTTGGAGTGGCCGAAGCATTCGCAGTCTTGCAAAGAGAGTGTGAGGGGAAGAGAAGGGAGAAAGAGAGAAAAAGGAAGAGAGAGACGCGGAAGGGAGTGTTGGCATTGTTGATCTTGCTGCGAGTGCTACGGCAGTTGTGTTAGCAAGAATTTAGGCACCACGGCATGCAAGGTTAAAAATGGAGACTTGGTTGTGAGGAAAGAGATGTTGGGAAAATGATGAAAGCCATGGTAACTCATGATTAGTCTGACATGGACACAGCCAGAGTTAGAAGACATCACACAAAATAAGCACGGCGTTAGTTGGACTCCAAGAGGTCACATCACTTCAAGCACACCACGACACAAGGCGAAATGATGACACACAGACACGGTCACATTGGAAACAACAACGGAAGCGTAAGGCAGGTCAGAACATGAATGAAATGGATCTTTCAACTCAGGGAATGGTATTGGGGAGTTTTAGAATAATTTTCCAACTGATCTCTTGACTGTCATGGACAATATGGTTTGAGGTAACAGGATGAAACGTTCAACGATACTTCATTTCACATCCCTCTGTAATGAAATTAATGACGTTGATTTTTTTTAAAACTCTTAATTTATCCCCAACATTTTCTTTTAAACGGTTAGATAGTTGTATTTAAAGGATTATTACAACCGAAAGCAGTCAATAAGGAAAGTGAGCATATGCTGAGTTGCACTGGCAGAGAGTGTCAAGGCGTGCTATGCAGTGTTATGTCATGCTGAATTAGATGTATGGAGTTGTAGCTGGACTGTAAAACCTCATGCTGCATTCTATGATAGTTCCTGGCAGCCCGCCCTGAGGGGTGCAGCAGCCCCAGCTCGCCATTCTCCGATTAAACATCATTCTCCCACACTGAGTGACCACTGACACCACGTGTCACAGCAGAGACAGATGTGACCTTAAGCCTCACTGGCAGACAGAATGCCTGCGGATCCAGAACAGGGTGGTGGCGGATGGGGCTTTCGTCCAAAGGATTGTGGTTATTAAGGATCTGTATTGAGGTCAGGTCTCTCTGTCCGGATGCTAACAACCTGAATAGGCTCGAAAATGAAGTCTAGCCCACTCTACATTTCACCTAAAGCAGAAAGTCTTGTCCAATTGTGAGCTTAAATCTTCTACATTAGATGCCTCACTCTCGCAGACATACTCTCAGAAGACAAATAATCTCTCCTTTCCAGAAATAGGCTAAGGTCATAAATCATGCACGAATGAGGAATAAAAAGTCTTGATTCTCGGAAACACATTCACCAAAAATAGTTCTAGTCTCCAGCACCCACTTTGTTTGAACTGAAAGAGATATTATTCCAAGGGACTTTTATAGTGTTTAGAAACGATTCCATAGATGAATGAACCCTCAATGGGCCCTGAGCAGAGAAGACCATCGGTCCAGAACTGAGCTCCAGATATGGATACACAGGCTTCTAGCATTGGGTTAGTGCTACAGGGGTTAGGGGGCTTACAGTAAAACAGAAACATCAGTTAAACAGTGAGGGGCTCAGGGGGTCATCTGAGGGGCAACGTATGAATTCCAGCTCCTACCTCGCTTGCTGTTTGCAACGTGGACAGAAGGGGCAGTGGATAATGCAACCTGAGGAGCTACTAGACAAATTAAAAGAAGAAACAAAAAAAAAACATGATATTGCATCAAACAAAACATGTAATGTCAGAGAATTACTGAGCATAATGCTTAATAAAACTGTAACTGTAAAAAGATAAATAAACAGGCGCAATAATGATGAATGATGGCATTGGGAAATAAGGAGTGACATTGCCAAGTGAAGTTGGCTGCATGTAGCAGCATCTGTTACAAATGCTTTAGATGCAGAAGAACTCAAATATTATGGTCCCTCTTTTATGCTTCATTTAATTAACAAGTGCTTTGTATAATTCAGAAGCCTCTATGTGTGTTTCCCCGTACAGAAACGGTCCTCTGACAAACTGCTCTCCACCTCGATGGAGGCCATCCAAGAATGTTCGCCCTATAACTTTGTGCACAGGAGCGTAGGCAAGGAAACTGGCTAGCAGTGAACACATCAATCCCTCAAATTCTTTACGGTCATAAAACAAACAGTGGGAAAAGAATTAATAGGCCCAGCCTCTGCTTTTGTACTAGGTGACATAAGCCCCTAACATACAGCGAGTGTGCTTGACTGCAGCCATGGAAACACAGCGCTCAGTGGTCGTGTGCTAGTTGTTTGCGAGGTGACTGCACATCACATCTGCACGATGGATTAGGCTGAGATGAGCCTAACATCAATCTGTATAAAAAACACAGCGGAACCTCTCCTGCTTTTTTCCCCCTGTTACGCTAAGATGGGAATCCCTGGAAGCTCTGCACCTAATTAAAATCGAGGGTGTATGTATAAACATACAGTGCACACATTGAGAGGATAATGTACGGCCCTGCAGCATGTCGAGTGCCCCATGAATGCACAAGCCTCCACTGAAGGAGCCTGAACCTTTATCAGAAGAAAGACTAGCAAGCGGAGGATGTTCTTTTTAGTTTGTCATAAAAATAGCCAAGATTTGAAAAGGGAAAGATACTCGTGCTCATATACAAATACTAATAGCTACCAAAGAGTGCTTTTAGCAAAAACCCCGATATAAATGAATCTGTGAAAAAAATAAATAGTTGTTGCATATTCTTAAATGCCTACCTTCTTTTCGGTTAGCGACACCTAGGGATGACACATTCGGCCGAACTGCGTGCAATTGAGAGAAACCAGGAGTTATTCATGTGCACTTATGTGATGCAATTTACATATAGTCTAAAGGGGGGTGGGGGACTAGGTGGTGGTGTACACACAGAACTGGAGACATGGACATGTCTTGCATGACTTAAATCTGTAAATCAGGAAACAGCAAAAACAGTTGGGCAGGGCTGACATGGATGAGCAAAGAGAATGCATCCAAAGACCCATTGAGGACATTGGAGAGACGTTGTATGTAATTTGTGTGACTTCCATTGGCTTGCTGTCTGTTTGTGTGTTTATGGCAAATGGCAATGATGAGTGAAAAACTGAAGAAAAAAATCTTTCATTTTGTATTGAAGTCATGATTTATGCAAGCGAGTCTAAACTATGTATAGCAAATTAAGAAGTTAGGGGGCATTTTGTTTAATTCATCACATCGACTATATAATCAATATCTAATTACAGTGTATTTCTGGTGGAGGAATAACAATGAATAAATAATGGCAGGTGTTCTGGACTTGGAATGAGGGACTGCTGTGGGTAGCATAACAGAATAATTACATACACGTCCGTATTTCCGTGTCAGGGAAATACATTGTGGTTGGAAATGGAGAGGACTCAAGCAAAGGGGGGAATACGGATACGTTTCCTCATTGTGCCCCTTATCTCTTCACTTGATCTTTCTGTCCTTTTGCTATTGACTCATGAATCATGCAATCTTGGGTAATTAACATCCAGTGGCGTCTTGGCATGGAGCCTATTAGCCTAACTAAGGGTGAATCTGATACGAGACTTCTGTTCAGGCCGGATCATTCAAAAAATTACTTTCTCACATGGAATTATTGATTCAAAGATTTTTTTATTCCACTGCATTGGAATTAAATACAATATTAGCTTTGAGCTTGGCATGTCTGCACACTGTGACAATCACTCCTTTACAACATAAATCATTGATTTTTAAAACTGCATGAACGAAAGACGATCATGCAGTTCCTCCTGTTTCATCCTTTTATTCTATTTTTTTTTTATCTCCCCCAAAAACGTTTTACAATGGATCCTGCTGGGGTATTGTGGAATTAGTGATGACTGCCACATCTCCAGTGGGTTGAAGACACTTGAGACACTCGATGAGAGGCTCTTTGAAAGTGACAGATTTACAAAAGAAAGTGCTGAAGAAAAAGGGCCCACCACGTCTCCACTCAAACTCAGGTCTTATATCTTCTAAATTGTCATGTCCCTTATTTTCTTGTTCTGAATTTAGTTCCTCTATTCCTGGTGAAGCGTTTTCCTAATGAATATAACTGACTTGTTAGGGCAGGAGAAATTAATTTATGACAACAACCCCAAGTATGTATTATCTAAGAAAAAGCATACATGAGCAAACTGCGTTGTCTGGATCTATAACCTCTAATTGGTAAAGTAAGTTCATTTTTAATTATTCTGTGTTGGCAATTGATTGGATGTAATACACATCTGGGTTCCATTAATTATTTCGTTATGGGGAATATTCAGGTTAGGCAAGCTAAATGACTGGTGACGGATTTTAATCAATGCCATACCCATAATGAAATGCAATCTTGCGTAGACAGGATTGTTTTTTTAAATATTAATTTCACTTTAATGGTCCGCATTAGGCAATTCTGCCTGACTTAATAAACTTGAAATAGAATTGAGAAAAGTCAATAAGGGATTCAATTGGCTTCAAACTAAAGCATGAAAAACGCTGTGCTTTCTTTTTTTCTCCACAATGGTTTAGCTTTCAGTCAATTTAACAACCTCATGGACCTCCTATTCTTTTTAAGTCCACTTTATTCTTCCTTTATTAAGAACGCAGAACTAAAATTGGTTTGTGTTGCATCTAAAACAGCCTCAGTGTGTTCAGTTTTCTTGTTCATTGGGAGGCTGTAGTGACAAGACAGCCTCTCGTGTGAAGAACTCTAAATCCCTGAGGGGCAATCTGGATGAGAAGTGGAGACGTTCGTTTGTGTCTTTTCTACATCAACCCCCTTCCCAAAAAACAAACATACGCTCACACACACAACCATACACTTATCAGCATGCACACTCTCCCTGTAAAGGATTTGAGGACAGCCTATTTAGATGGGATAGAGAGGACTGACGTGATTATGTAAGCATGTATATACGAGGAGCATGCACACACATGCTAAACTCTCGTCAGGCAGTGCATGAATTGGACACATTATTTCTAATGTGATGAGGTAGGAAGGCAAGCAGGGCGAGATTTGGAGAGGGTAGTTTGGTGTTCTTGGCCACATGTCCATTTCTGACTCATGACACAGCATCAGACTTTACAACCAGTGTTCACTTCCAATCTAAAGCCTGATTAAAAACCACCTGGGAACACTCTGTTTCTGCCTGAGTCTGACACAGCAAGGTTTGGGAAACTTGCCCAGTGATCATCTTAGCCGTTAAACCATGAAAACAAGCGTGTCCTTATCGTGTCCTGGCTTGGCTTGGTTACACTTGGGAATGAACTAGATATTGGGTCAAAGTAGACACTCTTTATAAAACAAGGAAAAAAAGAATGAATAGTTACTCAGAATGTCAAGCTGTGGCTCTCATCGAGATGGGAAGTGGAGGGATAAGGCATTGCTGTTAATAGACTATTGGTAATGTGCCCAAAAGGATTTTGACTTTATACTATTTCAACTTTTTTGCATATATATCAAAATATACTTTAAAACCAGCTAACATTTCTTACGAATAAAGGTCAATTGGTTTTCTTTCGATAAGATAATTGCCCTTTTACCTCATTCCAGTGTATTCTAAAGTACATTTTAGCCAGAGCCGACAATATTGCAGCTACAGTATACTGTAGATGACTTGTTTTAATAACCATTTGACCGGCAAGTTGATCAATGGGGCCAGTTTATTAAAAACTAGCATGTCTCTTTAACCCTAGCCAGACTATCAAGGTCCAGGATCAGACATGGAGGGGGCAATTTACTAATCAATGCGCAAGAAACAGAGAAGATTCACTAAGAACAGGGCAATGAGAAAAGAGATAAAGAGAATTGAGCCAGGCTGTGAATGCACTTTGACTTGTTCAATACAGTCCCATGGTTCCTGCATCACACAGCCTTCCAGGCAGCGGTAACATGAGACATGGCACCTCTCTTCTTCCTTCCCCTCCTTAGGGGCTACTGGTTGACGAAGATAATACCAGCCCAGGCGCTTGCGGCTTATATTAAAATGACCTCCTGTGACATTATACTGCCAGAGACGTCTTGGCACTTTAATAAAGTCTAGATGCCATTTATTTATAATGCATGGGAGAGAAGAAGAGAAAAAAAACGCCATTCTGCATGCAGAGCCAGGCAAGTTTAATCTGGTTGAGTTGAGTCTGGATAAGGTAAATTAAAATGCCTACATCATGAGAACATAGCCCCTAGCTATTGCTTATCTGTCTTCCCACAAAACAAGGTTTGTCAACAGTTGTTGAGCAAACCTTTGCAGGAAGATTGGAATCAGAAATGAACATTTGGCACCAAGTTTAGGGATGTATGGTGAAGGGTGGCACAATAGGCATAGCAAAGCATCAAGCATTCATATAGTTATTTTGTAAGTTGTACTTACTAACTGGACCAATGTTATTAGGGATACCTGCAAGAGAGAAAGAGAAAAAAACACAAGTTAATGGAGATCTAATTGTCTTTAAGGCAATAACTTTAACGTTCGTCCTAGTAGTATATTGTATTGTTAGTCTTGCCATCCTCCCTCTCTGTTTATCAAGTTCATACCCCAACGCCCGATGCATTCCATGAAATCTTGATGAGCAGTAAACCTTGAAACTGAAGACTTACAATACAATAGTATCAGGCCAGGGCCTCACTTTTTACTCTTTCATTGCTTTACATTACATGTTATTAGCAGGAGCTGTTATCCAAAGCAACTTACATACACTTCAATTCCGCAGGAGCATATAGGGTTAAGTATATTGCCTGATGACACATTAATGGGATTGAATCACTGACCCTTCGATTGATAGATCGGACACTGAGCCACAGTAGCTCTTTTTGGGACAACATCCATCCATCTTTGAACTCTTGCCTTCGTTTTGATCTGAACTACACACCTGTCAAGGATTGTTCCGGCCAATAGGGACAGAGTGTGAAAGGTTTGAGGGTGGTTAATATCTCTTTAGTTTCTTCTGGTTCCCTTCATTATTTCTGCTTTGATTTCCCTGTTGTTGCCTTGAAAGGTCATTGCTGCCCTCTTGTACAGCAAAAGATACACACCTGGAAATATTTCAAAATTACTGAAAAACAGTTTGAGCACAGCCCACAAGCTCACAGACAGACTTTGATATTTGATATATTTTGAAGTAAAAAAAGTTGACCCTTTCTCAGCACACTGTCTTTAAAACATGAGCTGCCAAAGACACATGAGACGGAATCTGATGCACACAGACACGCAACATGTCAAATGATATCATAAATGGGAAATTCTGCGTCTGATTCCTGCCGTAGGAGAGCATGTCTTATCCTGCTGCCTGCCTGTCCATCCCTCCATCAAGCAATCCCTTGTGCCAGACTGTCACTGAGCAGATAATACAGTCTGTCTCATCCCCATGGTGACCAGATCTCTCCCACACCAGGACGTTGGCTGGCCGTAGATCTGAGTTTGATTGAGATGTTCAGAAGGCAAAAATAGTCCTTGTAAGAAGCTAATGATCTAACTACCGACATCTTGGTTTTGTCCCTTTTTTCTCTGCGTCTATAAGCTTGAAGGTAACTGCTTTATATTTTTTGGTTGCCATTGGTTTTGGGAGGAATTTGCTTTCAGGAGATCGATGCCAGCTCCACTTTTTCTAATCATCTGTTTGGACTTGCCCTCCCTCGCATTCACTGCACCCCCTGCCCTCAATAAGGCAGCATGCCCACAAAAACAAACAACCCCCTCACCATGAAAAGAGGAAGCATGCTGGGCAAGAGGAGAAAGGCGCCCTCGTCGACTAAAGAGGAAGAAACTAAATAAACAGGCTTTTTTCCCCTCTCTACCTCACTTCTCTCCAATTATTCGCTTACCACCACATCTTCGGCTGAGGAAGCCGGGGAGGTATCTGTGCGGGATGTTTTTTGGGGGGGGCCTAATGTAGCCGTCACAAAATATCTCCAAGTACTCAGAGGGAAGGTGAGTATTTCCTGCGTAGGTGCATGTTTTTGTGTTTGTGGACTTTGATCAAACTCTTGTCATTCAATCACTCTTCCTCTGATCTCTGTCTGCAAGCTGTATTTAGGGAGCCACATCTGTGACCTGTCTGAAAGCTGTGAAGTGCAGGAGGCCTCTGCTGACATATGGAGAAGGAGCGAATCAGTGGTCAAACCTCAAGGGGCTGGGCAGATGCTAACCAGGAAGGACAAGGGCAAGGACAATTGCCTAACTCACAAAGCACCGTTTAATTTGTCTGGTATGAGCAGGTATAGCCTCAGTCTTGATATAAAGTACGTCAATCACGTTCATATTCAAAACCCATTTTACAGGGTCATGGCAATGCTAACGTAACTAGACTACTGCAATCTCTACGTATGCATATGCCAAGCCAATTATACATTATCGAGTTTCTCACAAAGTCCAACATGTGAGACTGCAAGTTTTCCAGCTCTTTAAGTGAACTATGAAAAGGGAGAAAAACACTGTAACACATTGCTAAAGGAGTCTGATTAAGCTGACTGCAATAATACACAGGCGCTACCTGCATCGAGTCTGGCAGGGGACCCATTACATTAACCTGAGAGGGATGTAAATATAAAACCAGGGAGCAGCAGAGAGGTGACTTCCATTAGTGTGTGTCACCAAACTGTTCGTTCACAGTTTGAGTACAGAGAACATTCTTCAGATACACAGACACACATTCACACACATTAATCTGCATTGTATGAAACGTGTTTGCCTTTCCTAAATAAGTGTTGAACCTATCACTCCATTGTCAGTCCAAGTGATCTGATCCAGACAAAATGACTACTAAATCAAGTGAGGACTCTTTGTAATTTGGTCTCGTTCAGGGCCAAATAACATTTTCTTCCAGGTCATGGTTTGGAACACCAGTGGACTGTCAGAGCAATTATTCGCCGCTTTATGAACAACCTGTGGGGTTCGAGCAGATGTCCAGGATCCAATGTTGGGTCATTCGATTAATTTTAAATCAAGTCATTTCCAATCCGCTTCACCTGCCCGGGCCTGGCCATTACGGGGCATGGCTGCAATCTAATTTGGTCCTATCGCACAGGAAGAGCATTAGGAGCTGCTTACAGTATGTTGATGGTGTCCTCCATTGATTTTTAGGAGTTATGCAGGGATCATGGTTGCGATCCGCTGGGTGGTGAACACGATCTCTGAGGGGTGTGTGATTCACTGAACATGATCTGTTCGCATGTGGGTTCAGCAACAGAATACACACACACACACGAACAAATGTGGGCATTAAAATACAGAAGAGAGCCTTTGCCATGTGGGCCATCAACTGATTTACAATAAGTCTCACATGAGAGAGCCATGGTTACAATGTGTGTTGGAGGTTCATCCTTCACTGGTCCAGTTCCAGCTATGTTGTCATCCATCCAAGATCACCACTGTAACCGTGCTAATGGATCATCAGAAACCAATAATAAAATGTACTCTCATGGGTCTATGGGCTCTAAATCTTAGGCATACATCCTATTTCCTCGCTGAACAAGCTAATCTGTCATCTATTCACCCTCAATGTGTCACATATATGTGCTATATGGGATTCTACTGCCAAGAGCACATGTAGTTGTTGGCGTGGCAGTGTTTGTGTGTGTGACATTACATTGTTTCTGTCAGTATCCATTCTGCTTTGACCTTCGATGTGTCTCACCTGTTTGTCTTGGTGCCACCTACTCTGAAAAGGGGCTTAACTGCTAAATTTCCCCCGCAGGCAAAGTTGGTAATTACTTTCCCTGGCTGCCATCATTTTATAGCAATCCATCATCAGGTGGAGCTCTTTGGCTATACAGAGCCTAGTGGTGGTGACAGCCATTGCTAACTGGTTAGCAGCGGAAAGGCTGCCAAAACAAAAGCAAACGGCGAGCAACTTGATTGAATTCCTTAGGAGACAAATTACGGCCAGCCTCACAGGAGTGCCCGGCTAAACGCGCTCTCTTTCAGTGTGTAGATCTGAATTGAAGGTGGCAAGTCTTAAAGAGCCAAGGAGCCCAGTTGGAAGAAGAACAGTTTAAGATTTCAGGGAAGGAATGAGGTGTACGTCGGTGGTGGTAGCTATGGGGGAAGTATACAACAAATCTGGAGATGGAAGAAACAAATATTTGAAAGAAAGATTACCGTCACAGCTGCACAGAGCCGAGATGTGGAAAAGACAGAGTAAACAAGCTTGGTCTCTGGGGTGGTTGGGGGTGTTGTGGGAGAGAGAGAAAGAGAATGCGAGCATGAAACAAAACCAAGAGATGGAGCAAGAATAGGCGCAGGCAGAAGAAGAAGATGATGGTGGGGAAGAAGGGCAGAGTGAGCAACAGAATGAGGGGATGCAAAACAACGGGCAATGAGGGAGAAAAAAAAAGCGAACGGGATAAAATGGAAATTCAAATAGCTGTGGAAAAAGGAAAGAGGCATAAATGAGTGGGTGATGTTGCACGAGAAGGGGAGAAGATGGGAGTGAAGCTGTGAGCCCAGAAAATGTGCTTATGTGTGAAGATCTGTAAACACGTTGCATTAAATGAATGTAAGCCTGGTGAAAAATACTGTTTTTTACAGAGCAGTCTGTCGTTTTTACATCTAAGCAACGGAAATGATCAATTTAAAAATGATTACCTTATTTTTTTTATCAACCACTGGTTTTGAATTGAATTTATAAATGGAACAAGTGTATTGGCACATACTGGCATGTGTAATGTGATTACACGAGTGCTTTATTAGCGCTTCATTAGTAAAGTAATGTGATTACACCAATGCATTAGTAAGTAATGTGCTAACCAGGGCTCATTAATCCATTTAATGCCTGTAATCAATATTTAAACAACTCATTTTTGGAGTTGGTTTACTATGTAAACCACATCATTTATGTTCAACAATCACGTCTCAGAGGCTCCTACAGTAAACATTGTGTGTCTTCATTCACAAAATAATTAGATTTATTCTTCAATGCGACCATTATTAGTTCCTTTGGGATTTGGATTTGTCATTGAAATATGTATAGAAACCTACTTTCTTTACACAAGAGGAAGGTTTAATCAGGTCTATATTTGTGTATGTGTGTTTGGTCACATTTCTATGATCAGCATCTCCCAGTAGGACTGGCAAAATGCAATAAGAATGTAGCATCTGATGTTTTTGCATTAAGAACACTAGTTAGAGAACAACAGCATTAAAATTCAATTTGTTGTTTTAATAATAACTGTCCTTGTCCAGATATGACAGGCCTTCTTTTCATTTTCACCTGGGACCAAGAAATGCTCGGTTTTATTCAGATGGTGAAAGTCTCATGTGGATTTTTCTCTTCAGGCAGTGGATGAATCATTACAGTGAAACCCACGGCGTGTCCATGCTTTTAAATGCTTTGATCAAAGGAGATCCTCAAACTGTGAGGCTGGCTTCTACTAAATCTGAACAAGTGTCTCCTAATCCTGTCCTGACAAGGAGATCTATACGTTTTATCAAGCAGCAGACAGAAAAAAAGGCTTAATCTCTTAAAACTTTCTGAATAGAGTTATTACACAAAAACGGTACATTTTTGTGTGAGTATCAGACCATGGCAATCATTGTTTCCATTTGTGAATAAAACACTTATACTAAGTGAGGTCAAAATGCAATGGTAATATACATATGGATTTTAATATATGGCAAATTAAAGTTGTTATTAGTCTGTTAAAAATATAATACCTTAAAGGTTATTCTAACATTTTGGAAAATAGATTTATCTGGCTACAGCCAGCAGATAATTAGCTTGGTTCTCCAAAGAGACTTCAGAGGTGACTTCTTGTAGTCTGGACTCTGCATGGTAAACTTAGTAAAGACATGAATCCAGCGCATATTCCCCAAAAGATAACACAACTTGTGCCTTTTAGACAAGCAATAAATAAGTTGTTAATTAGCAAGCTTTAGGGGTGCTAGCAGGCAGATTTATTTCAAACCTTCGGATTGATCTAGGCTAGCTGTTGCAGCTACAAGAAGTTAACCTTTAACTAGTTGTACCTTTATATAAAGTGTACATTCAGTTTATTAGGAAAGAAAAACAAAGATATAGATTTCATTGAAGTAAGTCAAGCTTTGAGCTTGAGTTATACTTTGTGTTGAAGCTACCGTAGACAGTTGCTACTGACATCCAGCAGCTAACATGCTAAGCTATTACGTTTTATTTTACTACACATAATATTCAGACACAAACATGCTGCAAAAAAGCCCAGTCCTCCAGTTTAAAGTGCATTTGAGGATTTTCACGTAAAAAAAATTAGGGTATATTTTTTACTTTTCTAAATCAACTTTTCAAAGGCCACCAGTCACTTCCCACCCCCCCCTCCCACTTCTATCTCCCTCAGTGTCCTCAGCCCTACAGTGAAATGAACTGTCATGGTTAATTCTCAAACTGATCCCTCTCCTTCTGTCTCCACAGAGGGAAAAAACGAGAATGCGTGAGGCTGAGAGACGGGGGAGGGGGGAGGGGGGGGGGGGAAAGACATAGATGGAGAGAGGAAAAGCGAGAGAGACAGAGCCACCCCAGAAGGCTGAGTTAGCTGTGACAGAGAGTGATGCCCACTTCCCCTCCTTCTATCTCCGCCATCCTTTTCTCTCTTCATCACTTTTTAAATCATGTTCTTCTTCTTCTTAACGCCATTGTACGACAAAATATCGTTCCCGCCCCCTCCCCCTCCCCAACTCCACACCCCCTGCGGATGATGATTCATCGATCTCCTTATCGCATCAGACGTCTTGATGGGCATAGTAAAAATAAATTAAATCTTAATTACATTTTCATCTTTGACAAATTTGTCTCCGAAGAGCTGCCATATGCTCACTGGGTTTGGGGGAAAACATTGAGAGTGAAGGAGACTTTTGGAATTGGACTTGAATAGGCTTGAAAATTACCAAACAGCACAAGGTGTATTTTTCTGTCAGACTTTTTTTTTCTATTCAGGAGGGAAAGCCTTGCATTTCTATAGATTTTCCACTGTGTTATTACATTATGGATTTTCTCCCCTCCAAGACAAAGTATAATAATGCACTTTATACTAAGACTGTTTTTCATCACTTGCAGGGCAAAGGGAGAGTGTGTGTCCTTGTGTAGTAGTTATGGATGTGTGTGTGTGAAATAAGGAGGTCTGGATGAGCACCTGTGTGTGTGTGTCACCTTTTTTTAATAATGTGCTGTCAATCTAGGCTCTGGGAATGGCTATTTTACTAACCCTCCCTAGATCTCATAACACGGATCCTCTGGGAGGCAGAATAAGTCATCAGCCGGTGGCCCAGAGTCCTCCAGCACCACAGAGGGAAGAAATCACAGCGGATGCAATAAGGGGACAGAGCGGGATAAAACGTAGGCTTACAAATGAATGCCGGAACGCTCCAACTTATACGCTCCTCTCTTCACCCTGCTGTTTTAGCTGATGTATGGCAGGCAAACTGGAGAGGATAACAAGAATGGGCCGATGGTGATTGTTTTTATGCTAACGTGATTGCTATTGATCGTAGCTTAGCTCGTGACTTCAGTGCCATGTAAGGAGACATTTTCTTTTTTTTCACCACTTGAGAAGAGTTTGGGATTCAAATAAACTAACAGCAAACGTTTGGGTGTAAGATAGAGAACCTTTATAAAAAGAGGGAACAGAGATTATAATATTGCCAAATATTGCTTGTTAAAAGCTTTGGATTCCTTCTTTTATTTGAGGCAAGTTTATCAGGAAAGCGCAATATCTCAAAGGAAGGGCCGCCTGCAAGACATTTTTATGTTCTTATCTATATACTCAGGAGTGCTATGAGTTTGTTTCAGCACACTCTCTAACGGCACAATACATTTGTAAATTGCTCGTTTTAACTTCATGAAACATAACTGTTCATGAGTAGGTGCGCTTTTGGGAGATAAAGTCATTAGCATCAGGGTTCCACTCTGTTTTTGGAACATTTGTACATGCAGGCTAATGGCTTACATTAATATGAACATGTTTCTAGGTCATGTCTTGTTTTTATTCTAGAAAGAAAACCCTATTTTTACCTAAACCTTTAAAATATCAAGAAGTTTGAAGATGAAACACTCTTCAGAAATATGCAGAATGCAGCACACTCAGCACAGTCCATGGTTAAATCTGCAGTGTTTTCTTCAGTTAATGTGAATACTGGAGATCATTTGAATCATACAGCTGGCAGTTCATCCTTAAGTACAGATGAAACAAACTTGTAATCGACAGTTAAAGTGCACTAAAGCCCTGACCCTGCACACTCAGTTTGCACATACTGAGGGAGAGGGCATGCAGTCTTTTCACTCACTGCTGTGGGTGTTTTTTTAAAAGGATAGGAAGACAGTAACAAAGAGTGAAGTCAGACACAGGGCATCTGCTGAACCCTGTAACACTCACATATGCAATAATCACTGCACCTGCTGTACACTGCAACATGCGTAATACATTAGTTATAGCATATTGCTAATATGGAACAGGGTGTTCCCTTATATTTGACTGCTTCAGTTCAAGCTTTTGTAATAAGAATTTGTTACAGTTTTGATATAATTAGTAGTTATTGTAATTGTGTAATTTGTTGGTCCAATATCTGCTCTTGATATTATTTTATGTCAAAATAGCTCTGTTTGATTAGTCTAAACCACAGCAAAGGACAACAGATACAAATATCCTGTACTATATACACCCAAAATAGAAGGTAAATCCGCACTCTGTTTGCTCAATAAACTTTTATCTTATTGTCACATTTGTTATTGCTTTGCATTGCTTTGAAACCCCAGAACTCTCATAGATGCCACACAGGATGCTGCTAATTGGGAATCGGCAACAAATGCCTTGGGAAGTCTTCAATATTCTGTTCATATCTATATCTATATTAATACCTACATTGTCATGTGACCCATCCTTTTTAATTACTCAACGTGTATGTGTGTGTGTGTGTGTACTCACAGATATTAGCGGTGCCCTTGGGGATGGGCAGGTAGGAGCCAGAACTCCAGGCTCGGCCCTGGTAACTCTTCTTGCAGCGGCCACAGTCAGGCCCAGTGGTGTTGTGTTCACACTCGCAGCCCAACTTCTCTTTGTCAAACACACAGCTGTTGGCGTGAAGGTTGCACTTGCACCTGTCAAGAGTGGTAGAGAGAGGGAGGGAAGTTGAAAGGGAAAAATATGTGAACACGAGTGAATTTTCTGGCACTGAATGAACATCAGACAGATTTTATTTTGTTGGCTGAAGGGCAGCATGTCCTTGACTAGCGGTGGCATTGGAAAACAGTCAGACCGGCTATAACAGTTGCTTGTTCAACTTAACAGGAGCTAGTTCAAAGGCAAGCAGTTGCATGAACAAATCTGGCATCATTATTTCTTCCCTTTCCCCCCCCCCCCCCACTCGGGAAGGTAGTTTTAATTGTCCCACTGGAGGATGCAAAACTGTAAGGTCATAGTCGATGGGAGGGGGAAGATGAGGAGGGAGAGAGGGACAAAGAGGTGCGAGGGGGAGGCTGATAAAAACAAGCCAAGTTAAATGGGAAAATGAAGGCACAGAGGCTTGTGGATCTGCGAGGCGAGAAATAGCTCAGAGTTAGCCAGAGGGCGGCGGTGAGTAACAGCACGGCTACGTTAGCTATGACAAATTAATATGAGATGAGATCTCAGAAGCATATTTCCACTTTGGAGAGAGGGACTCCCTTAAGGTGCACTTAATCCTCATGCACATCCTTCTTGTAGAACCTTCATTTAACAATAAACTCAGCTAAATTCATTTTGTGCTGTGGCTAGATGAGCATTGAGGGGATATCTATCTGTTCAATTAATTTATGATCCTGGTGCAGCGTACTTTGAGGAATATGGGGAATTGTTAAGACTTATTTTTAAAGACATTTGCATAGAAGACAATGTGAGTGAGTCGTTTCAAAATCCAATATGCAAAGGCAGTCATGAAGCGTTGTGTCATGGCATTTCAACATAGTCCTTTGGGTTTTCAAATGGTTTATTTGACTTTAGATATAGGACAATTTTAGATATATTAGATATAGTGCGTAAACATAAGGATCACATTTTTCTATTTGAAATGTATAATTTTTGTATGTACAGTACATGTATTAGCCTTTCGAATAATGATAAGATCACATCCCACAGCAGAGGAACATATGTGAGAATGCTGTTCAATGACAACAATTCAGCTTTCAACACAATTGTGCCCTCCAATCTCATTATCAAGCTCAGGGACCTCAGGCTAAGCAGCGCCCTCTGTGATTGGATCCTGAACTTCCTGACGGGCAGACCCTAGGCAGTGCGGGTGGGAAACATCACATCCTCCACCCTGATCCTCAACACCGGAGCCCCTCTAGGCTGCGTGCTCAGCCCTCTCCTCTACTTCCTGTTCACACTACTGCGTGGCCACACACAGCTCCAACACCATCGTGAAGTTTGCGGACGACACGACCGTCATCGGCCTGATCACCGACGGCGACGAGACGGCGTACAGAGAGGAGGTCGAAACCTTGACATCTTGGTGCCAGGATAACAACCTCCATCTCAACGTCAGCAAAACCAAGGAGCTGATTGTGGATTACAGGAAGCAGCAGAGAGAGGGACATTAATGGGACTACGGAGGAGAGAGTCAGCAGCTTCAGGTTCCTCGGTGTCCACATCACTGAGGACCTGACATGGACTCATCACACTAACACCATCACCAAAACAGCGGCTCTTTTTTCTGGTGTTTTGGTGTCCTGCTACAAGAGAGTTTGACTGATCTGAGATCTAATGCAGAAATGTGACACGACATACTCCACAAACATTACCAGCATGAGGATGCTTTATTTTCTAAGATAACAGTAATGTGTCCTAAGCGCAGAATGAGTCATGACACAGTATCAATGCCAACACTGGCTGCAACTTAAATAAAAAACTGGAAAACTGAATTCCAACACGCATGACTCATCCTGAAATCATGGAACTGTGTTTGTTTATTTTAGGATTAAAGGCTAAGAGCCAAACAAAATGGCACAATACAAATCAGACTTCTTACTTTGAAAATGCTTGTTCTTTACTAAGAGAAAGGTTTTCTATTCCTTCCTAAGGCAGAGGGAGAGATAGAGTAAAAAAAGTTAATGAGATGACACCTACAGCCCTACAGTTATGTTCGCTATCGTCTTAGTTACAAATGAGTTTGACGGCTGGTCTCTGTCAAACCCTGCCGATTCTGCTTGATACGTGGATACTAGGACTGCAGATGGAAATGAGCTATTAGCTATAATCTGACATAATTCATATCTTCTCTTTTCTGAGATTAATGTATTTGTATGCATAGTCCTTCTTGAAATAAATACATAATTAAAAAATGTAAAACTCCAATAATTTGGAGGTTCTACATTCTTCAAATCACTTAACACTCCTTTACCCTGACCCTGAAGTTATCTGCTTGTCGGGGTTTGATACCTGGCTACTTTGTAGTACTCTTTAGTACCAGGGTACGGAGTAGTCTTTATTTGGAGTCAGTAGCTCATGGAAAATAAGGTTAGCAGAAGTAAGAATAACACCTGTTATTATATCATGTCTGAAACATTTGAAAGAATGTCCTATCTCATGCTGCTCATGTTCTTTCCATGTTGTAGCTTCAGGATGTGAGCAGTAATAAGGCTGCCACTCACTACTGTACGAGTGTTTCTGTTTCCTAGGCTAACAGAAACCCATTACATACCTAAATCCAATCTTTGAGTTTTAAACGATCCAGATTCAAATGAATGCAATCCCAGCTGCCGATTTTATTTCAATTGTCCACATTTGTTTTATCGCACTTACAATGTAATGAGTGATGATGCTCCTAGGAAGGGACTTCTCTGAAAGCATCGTACTACCTAATCTAGGTAATAAGCACCCATGTACAAATAAAGTCTACTTAAGTATTCTCAAATAAATAATAGCCAGCACTTTAGAGCCTCTAAAGGAGTCCACTTTGAGCTAGACTGCGACATCCCTTTGTAACACTGGATTAAATCTTCAGCAGCTATGGCAGTTATATCCAGACCACACTGAGACGTAGAGGGATTGATCGAGAAAAAGTGGTGTGAGTTGAGTCAGCGTCCATTAGTGGCTAAAATCAAGGGAAGAACAGAATGAAGTCCTACACAGCCCTGGTCAATTCACTTCCCTTCCTTCTCTGTTATAACAGTCTTGCTAGTGTGTATGTATGTGTGAGTGTGTGGACGTGAGGAGCGGGTAGAGGATGAGCTGTGAAACGACTTCACATGGCCCTTTGTGGTTTAACCTTCAGCTTCTTTTAACATCGGCAACAATTTAATCAGCGTCCAGAAATGATACTGCCGTCGGCATAATGATGGAGACCGCCACTCAGGCCCTGAGGGTCTTATACCCACAAGCACTGTTGTGCTGCCAATCAGCAGTGGCCCCTGAATGTGGATACCAAGGGAGGCTCCCTCATCGCTGTGCCAGCAACAACAGTTTCAGAGAAGGAGCTCAGTAAACGTGCATTTGACAGCATTTTAATAGCAAAATCCCTCCAGCGCTACCCAACGTGTGTTTTTTGTCTTAATTTCCCTTTTGGCTCCGCTTCACTTTGAAAACTCTGTAGGTTTTCTCCTTCTGACTCTCCGTCACTCTTTATATCATTCTTTTCATATCTCTCTTCTGCATCCACCTATTAAACTCCTGTTAATAAATATTCATGGAGCTAAAGCATCTTTGTTTTTGTGTGGTGCTCTCAAAGTGATATTGCTTGAGGCAATATTGAGTGTGCCAGCCACCGGCTGTGAGCTAAAGGTCCTGATATGTATTCATAAAATTACCCATGAGGCTATGAATTCAAATTGCTTGACTGGCAAAAGAAAAGAAAAAAAAACCTTGAGTGAAGTTTACATTCCATTTTTTCTGAGAAAGCAGCACACATATTCTCAAATCTGACAAAAGTTTAAAGTTCTCCTTGAAATGTGGGAGACAGGAAATATTGTTTGGCCCAAATGTATTATTTTCCTTTATCCTGGTGGAAATGAGAGCGGCCCAACGGACTTAGCTCACCTGGAGCAGTGTGTCTATGACCTCTGCAGTAATGGGATTCTGATTGACACCATGGGTTCAGACGACATATTGCGCCTTTCCACTCATGATGCCAGCAGCCACAAACAAAAACAGACCAAAACAATGCCCTGTTTCAGAAAAAAATGTCCGTATCCTTTCTATTACTTCAGCCAATATCTGCATCATTTTTGTTTAGCCAAGTTCCTTCCCCGACATTGCTCTATTTAGCTCGTAGCGGCTTCAAAGCCAAAGTATCAGCCACTAATTGATAGTAATTATCCATAATCCAAGCCTACAACATCCCCGACGCACAAAGCTGCTGATCCCAACAAATTGAGCAGACTAAACTCAACATGGTCCTTAAGTGGGTTAACTAAGTGAAGCAATTACATTTCAATCTAACGCCCAGGTGTTTTCATACGCAGCCAATTGGGTCAAACACGGCTAATAAACACTTTTTTAAAGCCTGTGTCTGCATTCAGTGTGTGGTGCAAATAAGCGACAGCAGACAAGGGGGTTGCAGAGGTCGGGCAGTGGGGTGGGGGGGTGTCCGGGGGGGCTGGTGGTTCAGAGAGCACTCAGGCTTAATTATGTGTGATGAAAATGAAATATAAAAACAGGAGTGGCTGTTAAAATGGCATTCAGGCGTGTGTTTGTTTAAGTTATATTTCACACACACACACACACACACAGACCTACATTACAGAAAGGGGACGATAACTCCATGCTGACGAAATGGGGACTTCTGGTCATTTAAAAAGCTAAAAAGATACCATAGAACATTTTAATTGTCCTGAATTTGCCACACACACACACACACACACACACACACACACACACACACACACACACACACACACACACACACACACACACACACACACACACACACACACACACACACACACACACACACACACACACACACACACACACACACACACACACACACACACACACCACACACACACACACACACACACACACACACACACACACACACACACACACACACACACACACACACACACACACACACACACACACACACACCATCATCCTGTCTGCTTACGTCTTACTTACTAAT